TTCTTCATTCCTTCCAACTCTCAATGTATTTCTATGAGAGGAAGCTGAAAATTTCTGGGCCTGACCAAATATTGATTATTTGGTGAGTTTTAGCACTTTTGAGAGCATTAGAATTTCTTTGTGAATAAATTCTTAGTCAGGTCGAGCATTTTAAAGAACCATTTCGTTTATTTTTCTTTTGACATGATTCTCTGTTTTTTCACATCTTTTTATCCCCGTCGACATTTCAATTCCTTTCAGCTTATTATTATTTTGCATGTTTCTCTGTGAAATTATTCCAGCTCTCGAAGTTCGATACTACACTCTGATCCTATGAATAATAATAATAATAATAATAATAATAAGGATCTACCAAAAAATGACTATACCCACAGACATAACAAGGTAGCGACATATGTGCACTGGAAGAAAAGCAAGAAGCACAAAATCGAGACAATATACAAGATGTCCTGAGAGATGGTATGAACACCAACCAGACGCAGTTACCCAAAATGACGCTGTAACTATCGTCCGGGACATGCCAATTCAAACTGACAGGGAAATAAAAGCCATCAGACCTGATATTATCATATGAAGTGTATACTTATTGACATAGCAGTACCATCTGAGAGAAAAACTCCCATGAAAATTATCGAGAACTTGTCTAAGTACGAGGACCTGGAGATCGAGATTAACAGGATGTGAGGAATGAAGACTGAGTCTGTACGAATAGTAATCGGAGCTTTGGGTCTGGTGAGAAAAGGAATGGACAATTTTACTAACAGTGTCCCAGGTAACATCAATATACAAGTTGCCCAGCAGATCGCCCTACTAGGAACATCTCATATACTAAGAAAAGTGTTGGCAATTAAATGACAATACTTCTATAGGGCCTAATGACTATAGTTTGAACCCGGGTCTACATGATACAAAGTAGGAAACATAACATACACAAATAATAATAATAATGATGATAGTAGTAGTAGTAGTAGTAGTAGTAGTAGTAGTAGTAGTAACAGAAACATCTGACAAGCTTATTTCGGGTTGAACGGCTTTAATATCCATTGAATATAAAACTCGGCATGAGAGAGTGGGCCAATATCTTTAACTTTTACGGTAAGGAAACAGGGAGAGATTGATAGGAACATAAACCAGTTTTTTTTTTTTTTAAATTGGTCAGTGGAAAATGTCATGGTGCCATTTCTAACCTTAGGTCTCTAGGCGGGACCCGGAAAGAAATGAGTACACACCAGAAATCAAAGGAAATAAATTAATAATAATAATAATAACCCATCAGTGGCTACGTGGTGCAGGGTTGAAAGCGGAAACTGAAGGTTTTATCCTTGCTGCGCAGGACCAATGCTTGCTAACTAGGAATTATCAAGCACATATACTAAAATATTGTGTCAGCCCAAAATGCAGATTCTGTGATAAGTATCCAGAAACGATTGATCATCTTGTATCAGGTTGCACGGTGTTGGCACCCACTGAATATAAAACCTGACATGACAGAGTGGGCCAATATCTGCACTGGAAAATCTGCAACTTCTACGGGAAGGAAACTGAAAGAAACTGGTATGAACACCACCCAGACCCGGTTACGGAGATAGGACCTGTTACAATTCTATGGGACTACACAATACACACTGACAGAACAATCAAGGCCAATCGGCCAGATATTGTTATTAAAGACCACAAACAAAAACGGTGCCTCCTTATTGACATGGCAGTCCCTGCTGACTGCAATGTATCTTTGAAGATATTCAAAAAGTTGTCAAAATACAAGGACCTTGAAATAGAAATCTCGAAAATGTGGCATATGGGAACATCAACGATCCCTGTTGTAGTTGGAGCCCTAGGACTGGTTGGAAAAGATTGCAGTAGACTAATTGAAGGGATTCCTGGAAGTCCATGCCTCAAGCAGATACAAAAAATTGTTCTGACAAGTACAGCCCACACCTTACGAAGGGCTTTATCTATGTAATTTAATTTTTTTTTTTTTTTTGTCAATGGAAAGTGTCATGACGCCATTTCTAACCTTAGGTCCCTGGATGGGACCCGGAAAGAAATTTGTAAACGCCAGAAATCAAAGAAAATAATAATAATAATAATAAATCTTCTTATGGTACACCAAGCATGGGTCTTCTTTCTGATCTTAATTGATTATCGGTATTAACATGTACTTGTTAATTCTTAGCTCACTAACTCATGTGTTATTTAGTTACCTAACCGATCCGCCACGGACTGACATACTGAGCATCACTATTCATGAATAGAAATATAAGGGAACATCGGCCGGATATCGAGAGGGTTGTCTTTATATCTTTGAAGGATGAGGCAAATGAAACGACTCGGGCGTCACATATAGATGCTTGGCAACACTCCCAGTTGTAGAACATCTGAGCAGACTAAGTTGCCCGACCTGAGGGTATTTCTAATTGAAATCTTCCCGTAAGATTAGGTGCTGATTTTTTTCAAAACTTGTCACCATATAGCCCTCATTGGACCTTCTCTCATCTGACTGGCTGCCATGATGAATATACTGGTTATCGTATTTGTGTGCTCCAGCCTTACTTTGTTCACACTCAGTACTACTACTACTACTAATAATAATAATAATAATAATAATTTCTGCCTCTGTGTGAATATCATCATCTTCTCTATAATTTTTCTCCCACCACCCCTGACAGAGAGAGCTGTGGATCAAAGAGAATTTGACGGGGCCATTCGCGTGAATTTGATTTTGGTGGATAACTCTGTGCGACGGAGATGACCACATCTTTGGCCAGAAGCGCCTCCCTCGTGGCTCAAAGGACATTGAGACAGGCGAAATCTGGTAAACCTGGTTGCGTCGAGCTGTTGGGTGCTTAATTTATCGAGGTTCGTCCTCGAAACAGTGACGACCAGTCTGGGAGAAATGAAGCTATGGTTTGCGATTACAACTGTACTGCGGTCCACTGAGAAAAGTTCTGGGGATTAGAGTAAAAATACTGTTAATCGCAACCTTATCGAAAACATTCCAAGAAGGTACCAGAATAACCACTTAAATATAGAAAATTTGCTTGAAATATACTAACATTATTTTTTTTTAATATACACTACAGATCAAAAGTTTGAAACCACCTCCAGAATTAGAATGGGATGAACTTCGCAAAAGAGTAAAAAAAAAAAAAAAAAAATGTAAAAGATCTCCAAAAGTCATTGAAAGAAGAATGGAATCAATTATCAAACTTATACATTGAGAAAATTTTGCAACGCATGCCAAAAAATTGTGCTGCACTAATCAAAACTAAAGGAGGACATTTTGATTTTAATCATAAAATACTTATTTTTCTTTTTGCCATAATAAAATTTCTAATAACCATGTAAGAGGCACGGTGGAGTAATGGCTCCGATTGAGGAATCGGAGAGGCGAGTTCGAATTCCAGTCAAATCCATTACATTCACTTACATGCTAATAACCTTGGGAAAGGTATGAATCCTCTTATATGGGTAAATAGCATTACAGACCGGTCTCTATAGCCTTGGATAGCAACTGGTCTACAGAAAGAAATGGCAACCTACTGCGGGAAAAAAAATCTGCCTCGTCAATTATGTATCCTTCGATAGATGACTGCCAATTGCCTAAGGGTGTATCACGCATGGCACATAACTGACTGACTGAATAAACATGTATAATTTTCTCTTATTTAAAGTACAAAACCACTTCTTTTGGAGCCAATTTAAAAATTAACAGGGGGTCGCCTCAAACATTTGAACTGTTGTGTACACCTGAGAAGTTTCTTTGTAACATGCAATATACTTATGGCAACATATAGATAACAAACTAAGTTTGAGTGTAACCTCTTCAATAGTAGCATTCTCTTATGTGAAAGACGCTTCTTGGATGTTACTACAATGATTTAATGATGAATACAATTGAATACAGTTTGTTCCATCGAGGGAATCTTTAGAATGATTCAGTTATAATCGTTGAAGGATTTTACACTTTTGAGATGTAAGCCAAGAAAATAAATAAATAAATGAAAAATATCACCGGTGCAACGAAAGCGTGAGGCATTTGCTTGCATGTGTATTTTCGCGTATGCATATTTGCATGCATCTGTCTGCGGGTAAAGTTATATGGGTGTGTGTTTTAGTGTTTGAGTTTCTATATGCGCGCGTGCCTCTATGCAGTTTTTTTTTTATGTGGGTGTTTAAGAAAATAAATAGCAATAATTATAATATTACATATATTTATTGACAATATTATTAACAACATTTGAGTTGTATGAATAGAATCTTTTTATTATTGTTATTCTACAGGTGTGTGTTTTTTTGTGCATGTATGCGTATATACTTGCGTTAATGGATTCGTTTTATATATATGTATGCTCGTGAGGTTTATTCTCTTTTTGTGTTTCACTGTTCTTTGGCGTCTGTAAGTGTTTTTAAATCTGTTTGGATGTCTGAATGCGTGTTTATATGCAGGTGTTTGTGCGTATGCGCGCCTCTGCGTGTGTATGCCTCCCTGTGTATGCTTGTGTGCGTACGTGTTTGTGCATGTGTATAAAGATGTGTGCTTCTGTGTATGCGTTTCTGTGCGTTACGTGCGTATGGCTCTGCGTGTATGCATTTATGTATAAATGTGCGGGTGCATGCCTCTGTGTGTGTGTATGATGGGTGGGTTTGTGCGTAGTAAAGGGTTTATGTATGCCTGTTTACATGCTGAGGTTTCTGTGTTTATGTGGTTGTGTTTGGATGTATGTGTTCGCGTATCAATGTACGTACTTCTGTGTGTATGTGCGTGAGCCTATGTGCGGAGTTACATTTGCTACCTAGAAAGCAAGCTGTGACAGGCCGCCTTCTGCTTATGTGGTTTGCAATTTCAAGATGAAGTCTCTGACTGTCGCTTAGCCACGGCAATTATTGCCCGAGGCTTAAAGTGGAAAGCAGCGTAATGATGTCAAACATTGCGATTATGGAAAGAAATGAAAGAAGAGGAAGAGGAGGAGGCTGAGTTTGTACGCAATTGCATTTGCTTAGTTAGGGTTCAATAAGGATATCAAGGAATTACTTAGCCGAAGACTGAAATAGACGAACGAAATCAGATAATCGAATAAAAGGAATAAGGCGGACGAAGTATGAAGAGAAATGTACAAAATGGCACCGAGAAAAGAAGAAAGAAAGTAAGAAAGAAAGACCAACTGTCGACGAGTAAGTGTGAATGTTGAAATAAAATGGGGGCAAGAACGAAAGAGACGGTAGCGAGAGGAAAGAGAACAAAAGCGAATCAAGAAGTTAAGAGATAAAGAAAGAAAACTAAAAAGAAATAAGGGAGTGGAACTTGAGAAGAAACTTGAGAAAAAAAATAAAATGAGGATTTTACCTGTGGAGGCTCGGTGGTGTAACACTTAATACCACGCAAAATGGAACCAGCAAGACGGTTTCAAATTCCAGCTAGGACATTTTTCTTTTACCTGCGCACTAATAACCCCAGTAAAAGTATGTCTCCACGTCTCTCCCACGGGTTAGTACATAGTATTTGGATACCTTTAGCTTTTTAAAGGCATACCATAGGTCATCAGGGATCGATCCTTGCTATTAATATAATGTAACTCAGTACAAGCTGCCGTATGTTACTGGAGAGAAGACAATCACTGCAAAGTAACGCTCACTTGCACGGCGTTTCGGTGCTCGATAGTGGATAATAAGCTAGCCATTATTACCGAGTAGGTAGTCTGAACCACAATGATTGCTATATGTCTATGACCTAATACCAAAACTAAACTCCTCTGAATGATTTAAGAAGCTATGTTGTAATGTAGTAGTTAACAAGCTTGGCTTGCAGATGTGTAGTAGGTTCTATCCGCACTGGATGCCCTATACTGGTGGCCTTAAGCCAAAACTATGTGCAAAGCCCGGGGGCCACTCGAGGTAGAGGGTTACGATAAGGAATAGTTTATACGGATAGGAGAGGAAGATAAGGTTTAACTCCGGCCTTGAACAGGTTAAGAGATGTAGTGGTGATTTTCTAAGAGTAGCTTAGTTGTGGCACAAGGCCGAAAGTATGGAGCACCCAGTGAGGATCGAACTAACTATTCAGTCGTGAGTGAGTGAAGCTTGCTAGCCATTAAACCACGTCGAGTCTCTACATCGATGGCGATGATGATATTCTGTACACAAACAACACACTTTGAAATAGGGTCAAATATATATCGACAAGATGAAGGTTTATAAATGGGCTCGCCATTATCACCAGTAATGGCAAGCGTATACATGGAATACTTTGAAGAAATGGCATTAGAATCACTATAGCCAAACTTACGTAGATGACAAATTCATATGCTGACCACAACAGGAAGAGGCTCAACTATTACTGGACCATGTGAACTTAATAAGATTCACATCTAGTGATCACTTAGACGCCACGCTAATTCCCATATATACATTTCCTTATTTAAAATGGGATCACCTGTGTTTGCTTTCTGGTGATCTGTGTTCAAACTACAGTGTCGGCAGCGGCACTTTATGTGGAATAGGGGAAAAGGACAGTCTTCTTAACGTTAAATTTAGCAGTCAGCATAAACCGTGGGTCGTAATTTAGGACCTATCTGTTATACTTATTTACTCTTAATAATTGTGATTATTGTCCTCATACCGTAAATATCCGTCACAATGGAGAGAGAAAACGGCAATAATTAATATTCCTGGATATATTAATATCTCAAATTGGGCATAGGTGAAAGACATCCGTATATCGCAAGCCAATATTCACTGGACAATATTTCAACTTCAACTCCCACTACCCATACAGTGTAAAGAAAGAGATCGTTCACTGCTAACAACATCGAGTAAAGTCATGCGGCAAGAAATAGTCAGTATAAGCAGTACCCTACAACGTAACAACTACCCTGGGTACATGGCAGAAGCACCGACAAACTGGAATAGAAATGTACAAGTGTACAACAAAAATGAGAACACAGGTTCGGTCTGCCTACTCTAATTGAAAGGATTATTGGAATGATACAAAAAGATTGATATAACATCAGATGGCCTTGTGGTTCAACACTGAGACAAAAGAAAACATCTAAAACATGTGTACGTTCCTGATATAAGAAATCAAAGGATGATGCCTTCAAGATAAGACTAAAAGAACATCGTAAAGTCGTAACAAGGGGAAAAAAAAATAAATAAAAAATAACAGGCGTAGCTGAATACATATGGATGGGAAAGGGAAATAAGAGCAACCCTTGGGATGACGTTGAAATAATAGACAGAGAACATCACTGGAAAATACAAAAACTTAAGGAATAAGCATATATGCTAGGCCATAAAAATCGCCGAAGCCGGCCAATCATAGAAATGAATAGTATATGGGAACCATTAATACGGAGTGCTAGAGAAAAGCAATAATAACAATAAAATTGCAATATGAGCGTCGTGAATAAGGCAACAAAGATCGGGACAAGAGTCCGAACAATGTAAATAATGTAAAGAAGTAGATAGCTTCGCCTATCGCCCGTTTCACACTCCTCTCCGGTCTTTTAAGTATGAGTAAAGATTTTTCCATTGTTACCTTTTTAAGATTGGGTTTCCGCTTTCTTCTCAAGTCTACTTCAACATTATACTTCTAACTTTTCCGCTTAAACTCTGAAATTTTATTTACTATTTTTTTTTTATCAATCGAAATAGATAGCTTTACCTATCGCCCATTTCACACTCCTCCCCGATCCTTTGATCAGGAGTGGAATTTTATATCTTGTTTCTTTTTTAGGATTGGGTTTCTGGTTCCTTTTAAAGATTATGCTTTAAATTATATTTCACTTCCAGTAAACCGTTGCGTCTTAGTGGCATCATCGCCTTGCTTGAGTAAACTGATTTTAAAAAAATGCGCGAAGTCGCTCATATAATATATAGCTACAATCACAAAGACGCTTATTTGTTTTATTGTTTTTTTTTGTTTTGTTTTGTTTTGTTTTTTGCATTAAATATCGATGGAAGTCGAACACCCGTTAAGCAATGTGAATGTTTTAGTAATACGTCGATACTCGGGTGTTTTTAATATAAATCTTCCAAAAAGTACTCAGGTAACCAACAGACATATATATATATATATATATATATATATATATATATATATATATATATATATATATATATATCAACTCTTATCTGTTAGATTACTTCAAGTTCGCCTTATATTTCACTGGACGTGTTGATGATAAGGTTGAGATAAAAAGTACTGATAAAATTTTCAAAGAAAGGAATTACTGAAAATATTATCTAACAATGTAAGTTACTTTAAAAATATATCTTTAGCGAGCTTTGTTTCTCAAATCGTAAGATCATAGATAAACATTCGCAGGTAGCAAAATATTTACGATATGAGGCCAATATTCACATTTATTAAGAGTAAATAGGAAAAGCAGATAGGTCCTAAATTACGACCCACGGTATATGTTGACTCACACCAGGGCCGGCGCGTACTATCCCCCGAGCAATCTTATCAACATTTGCTTTTTTCTACTTAAATTCAGTCAGTCTGCTTTCTTTCCATTTTTTTTTTGTTGATGCCAATGAAAACTTGTTGCCGCTTTTGTAATGCTCATTGTAGTAGAGACTTTGTAACCGCAGATACAACTATAGTAACGCCGTTGAACAATACTGGTGTCAGACGCCTTCGAATAACACTCTCACTAATAGTACTTGCTCGATAATACTCGCTTCTTTAGGGATCCGAATAGTAATCTGCATAGTGATGATATTCATTAACCGACCCACGGGGTCAGATGTGGCACAAGGCCGAGTTTATTGTGAGATATCCGAGCCCATAGGCTAGGCCAAAATTCCCCGTAGACTCCGTAAAAAAACGGAGTCGGGTAGCTATTTCTCAAGACGAGACTGTACCTTTCGACATAGCCACGTCTGGGGATCCTCTCTGCCCGGAGGCAGAGAGTTTGACAAACACACTTCCGAAGTAATTCGGATAGTGAGATAATCATTAACCGCCTTAGTGGGCAGATTCAGCAAAAGGCCAAGTTTATTGTGGTGTATACGAGCCCGTAGACTGGGGTAAATATTTCCAGCAGACCCCGTAAAAATTGTGGTCGGGTAACTGTCTACCACCCCAAACGAGACTCTGCCCTTCGGCACAGCCACATCTAGTGATCTCTTAGACGCCACGCTAATTCCCATATATACATTTCCTTTATCATCACGTGATCTACTTATTCAAAATGGGATCACCTGTGTTTGCTTTCTGGTGATCTGTGTTCAAACTACAGTGTCGGCAGCGGCACTTTATGTGGAATAGGGAAAAATGACAGTTTTCTTAACGTTAAATTTAGCAGTGAGCATAAACCGTGGATCGTAATTTAGGACCTATCTGTTATACTTATTTACTTTTAATAATTGTGATTATTGTCCTCATACGGTAAATATTTTGCTACCTGTGAATGTTTATCTATGATCTTACGATTTGAGAAACAAAGCTTGCTAAAGATATGTTTTTTAAAGTCACTTACATTGTTAGATAATATAACAGTTTTCCTAAGTCTCGAATAAATGCTATATAATATTCACTATTTTTTTTTTATTCATATATCATCTCAGAGACACTTTTCAGCTTGGCTGATGCTCACCTCCAAGGAGAGTATCATTGCGCCTTCTCGGGCTAAACCTCTCGGCTGATATGAAGTGCAAAGGCTATATTGAATCCACTGATAAATCTACTGCTAAGAAGGTTGGTTCAGTGTGTCGTGCTAGATAACTTTTCTCTCCAGAATCTATTTTACACATCTAGAAGTCTACTATTCTTAGAATGTTGCTGCCAAATATGGTCTGGTGCTTCTGCTATATACTTAGAGATTTTTGATAAACATTCAAAAAATAATCAGCAATATTATTGATTCTGTCTTCAGTCACTTTCCTACCGCCATAAAGTTGACTCCCTTTTCTATAAATACTTTCATAGCAATTGTTCGGATGAGCTCTTTGTTATGAAAATCCTTACTATTCCGTCAAATTGTACATATTGGGACTAGTTAGAATTTTCATAGAGACATTGAGGTATTATGGTGGATATAGAAAGGAAGGTAAGTAGGGATGTATTGTTTTTAGGAATATTGTTATGTTTTGGGTCAGTGATTGATGCTAGCTAAATTTAAAGTTAAGAAGACTGTCCTTTTTCCCTATTCCACATTTTAGCCTTGTACGATATTTTGTATTAAAGTACAAATAAGTATCACACTTCGTTATGATATCTAAATTTTATGAATATAAGCGCAGTAATGGATTGGTGAAGAGGGTCTCATCAATTTACAATAGAATTGAACCAAATTTCCTAGCAGCAAATC